GAACAATTGCATTACTTAAGTATTGCTTACAATTATGCAGTCGCCGGCCATTGTCAGCTACAGTCGTTGGCTACAGTAGATGAGTCTCTCTGTAGTCCAATTGAATCAAATAATACATTTACGCAGCTAAATTTTTTATATATCTAGCTTCTGTTGCCAACTACTGTAGTTTAATCATGAATAGGGCATTATATAAAATAACGCAATAAACGACTTGCTCATATGACATTATTTTATGACATTCTCATGATAGTACGGTAAGGCGCATTAACAGATGGATCAGATTTTATAATTTGCTTTACCTTTAACCGCAAATACTCTTAATGCTAACTCAGCAGGTTAATTGCACAAATATTATGAGAGAGAGAAATCTTTCCTTTGCGTTGGAGGTAGGTTATTATTATATTTATCTTAGTTTTATAGTTTGACATTCAGTTGGAATTGAAATTAGTAGGACATTGTAGTACGGTCACACTGTCGGAATTAAGTCAACAGATATTTATAAAAAATCTTTACAATAGAATAAACATAAAAGAATACATGACGTTTTCTCTAAGCCAAAATCTGTGTTCGTTATTTTGACTTAAGGAACATTTAATCACATACTCTTTCCTACAAGAATTCACAAGCGAAAAAATATATTTATACATTTTTACTGTGATACATTATACATTATATATATTATATTTATACTATTCATGATATGAATAGAAGTATATTGCTTTAAGTACTCTTATGTATAAAAAATCATAAAATATGTGTAAACTAACTTATATTATTAGTAAAACAGCGAAAAATCACTAATTAAGGCACATTGGAGTTATCTGATGGCCTCTGCCAATGCAACCAACTTATATACATATATACATAAGCTGTTTTTCATTAATATAAACATTTCAGATGAATTTCGTAGGCCCTCTTATTCGAAAGTACATCATTAAGCGTGAAGGTTCACACTTTGAGAGTTCTTACTAATACCACACTATTTTTATGTTGAGGCTAGTTGAGTCAGTACTCTTGAGCACTTTTACTCTCTATTAACTGCGAGGTTTCTTTATAACTTCTCTCTACGCTTTGATTGGATTATTGTTTATCACTTCATCAGACTAAGCAATAATTGATCTCAGATCTGCATACCTCCCCGAGGAGCCTGTTCGTCCTTGGCCGCTTCGAGTAGCCTCCGCCAGTCAGCCCGATTAATTGCTTCTGTCTCCAGTTTGTAGTATCGAGCGCCCCTAAATCGTTGGACACCACGTTATGTGGTCGAAGCTATTCTCCATTTTATCAACCAGTTATATTCTACTCCACTATTGAAAGGCCTAAATTCATAATTGTTAGGGCTAAATTTTTGTAATGATTTCCTAAATAATACTTTTAAGTTTGAGGTGAAATTACAAATTTATTATAAAATGTCATAATTTTAAATGACTTTTTATTTGATTCGCTTTCATAATAACAATGTCACATATTTGATGTGACATCATTTTATTACGTTTATTTTTGCATAACAAAAATATGTCTCTCAAAGTGATTTTAACTACAGTTTTTCGCTAGAAAGTCTCTTTTTTCAAAATTAGTTTTGCCCAGAATCTTGTACTTTTTGTACAAATGCCAAAAAGTGAAATCAGAAGATTTATGTTCCGAAAAAAAAGGCATTTGACTATGATTTATGTCAAGGATGTTATTTTTATTGTCATGAAATAACGCTGCTTCAGAATTTGAAAAATAGTTCGAGTTAGGCAAGTTAAAGTTTTAGTGTTGTTAAAGATTTAATCAAAAACTTCTTTCAAAACAACGAATTATGAATTTGAATCATAAATCTGAGTCCATTCAATTTTATTTTAACTCTATATACCTATGTCGCTAATAACTAATTTTTTATTACTTTTTATTAATTCCGGACTAATATATGGCTTTATCTGACCAGTTATCTGCTATATACCTTATCATTGTAGTCTCTTATATTAGAGACTAACTGTCAAGTCATTAGTCAACTCAAATCTCAGAAGAAATATATACCGGTACCCGCTGCAAGACGATGGAAACTTCCAAATTTTTTATTTCCTTCCATAAGAAAGGGAGGAACTATATGTATAACAACAAAAATCTATCTGATGACAACTGAGTTAGTGTGTTTTAAGTACAAAAAATATTTCCAGTTATTTTCTTTAAATAAAACTGTGTCATCATTTTCCTGATAAACAGAATACACCGAAGAAGAGTAAAATTTATGGATATACTAATAAAAGTTGGTCATCAGATATAATTCTCTACATAAATTGTTAAAAGTAATTGATAATTGATAATAGAATACACCGAAGAAGATTGAAATTTATGGATATACTAATAAAAGTTGGTCATCAGATATAATTCTCTTCATAAATTGTTAAAAGTAATTGATAATTTTATGAATTTCAATTATTTTATTAAGTTTTTAATAAATGGAAAGCATGTCACTTGACTATTATTAGCATAATTGGCTTAATCTAATGCAATATAAACATAATGTTATTAATAATATTATCCCAAATTGCGGTTATATTTAATAGATAAATGAACTTATTCTTTTTGTTGTTTTTGTGTGATGTAAATTCTTTATTATGTATATTTAGTGCACATAATAATCAAAAATATGTAACCACAAGTACTATTTCACATAAAATGCACTAATTAATTAAGTTGCTAGACGGTAGGCGCACAACATCACATTTGCAAGTCCTTAGCCAATTTATTATTGTGTGGAACGCCCAAAAGGCCTCAGCTTGGCAGCCCAATTATAAATATAACAATGACAGAAGCCATTTTGCTGTGCCATTTGCTGTGCTATTTGCTTTCCTAACTAACAGTTTTCGTTCCATTGAAAGTGCCTCAATACTCCGAGGGATATAAATGGCCACGCATAACAAATTTGCGTCTTAAGGCGAATGAGAGCACAAACGCAATTTGCTGGCGCCATCCTAATTGAAAAAGGACATCAGCATTTCATGATTAGCAAACAAAACATTCTGTTGAAACATGCTTGGTACGTCCCTGCTTAACTAAAATCAGCTAATCAGTTAATGTCTGTTATCATATTTTGAAAATAATATTTTTATTTCATTTCAATATATGTAGAAGAAGATGTGATTAAAAGTAAATATTTACAGTAATGACTACAACTTCCTATATATATAGACAAATAGGATTACAAGTCAATTTAACAAAGTTTTATTAGCTTAAATCTTTTACTGAACTGCTTCAAAATTGTTTATTATTGGATGTGAAGATTGGGAACATAATGAAATCAGCTATTATCGTTACACTTTTGGATTATAGATATATCTAGTAGAGCTAATTATTAACAACTGGTCAATATTTATTATCTCATATTAGAAAATATCAAATTAATATGTTTTCACATTGTTGAAGATAATTGATATATTTACCAAAGAGAGTACTTATAGTTCTGATAAGCCAACGGTCATACTACAATAAGATAATATTCCAAAATTACTCATCAAAGCGCAAAAGTTGTAAAGAAATACGCTATTTTCAGAGTGAAAAATCAATTAATCGTATTAAAATTAAGAAGGCCAGTAAATGATTCTTTACTTTAACTCAATATTCCCTATATTTTAATGTGTGAACTTAAATGGGTACATACGCAGGAATGGGTACATAGGAGCTTTCTTCATCAGTCCAGAAAGACGCTCGATGTTACACTTAACCATTCCCTGCTAAACTTTTTTGTCTCAGACGAGAATACCAAAATCATCTGCAGACTATACCAGGAACTGTTTTGGTATAATCAATCAATCTCAAAGTTTGTTTGTTTACTCCTAAAAATATTGTCAGACGCAAAACACTAAATTTGTACTTTAGTTGTACTTTTCGTGTCTTAATCCCAAAACTTTATAACTTGGATTATCACTTTGTAAACTCTGATTCTTCTTTCATGCATTTTAACAGATTTCTCGAAAAGTGTTGAGGTGGTAGTATATTTTTCGAGAACTTTAACAACAAATATAACTTTGCCTTAGGTTTGCACATATCTGATTTTTAAGCAGGATTGCTGACGAGATTAAAGCCATACAACCAATTTTTCAATTTTAGATGGAAAGGGAGAGTCATAGTAGTACTAAGTAATAGTCAAGCTGCAGTTAAAGCCCTAATCGATCTGGTTACATCATCAAAACGAATTTATGAATGAAAATGCGGGTTAAACTATATCATTCAATTCGATATATCAGATAGCGATAGAATAACTCGGAAGAATCGGTTTAACTTCGGTATTTTGTGATCCGTAATAATTTCTAGTTTTGTTTAAGCCTTGTTCAATCTGAATTAAAAGATAAATAATGAAATTACAATGATACTGGGCACACAAAATTGTTCCTACCTATAATCAATGGAACTGCTACAGGTTTTCTTATGACTCTTTGGCTCAATGACTATAGACTACTAATTGAAGCACTGGTCACATCAATTTTGTCAAACATCGCTGTCCACTTGACTTTGCTGACAAAAGTTTATGTCGACTTTGGTTGGAAAACGAGGACACGATGGAAGATTTTCAAAGAGTTCTCAACAATCAGAGTTAAAGGTTTCGACTTAAATTTTGTAAGTACCTTCTTATCTCCTCCAAATGTTCTTTGCTAACTTAAAAGAAACCGAAAATGTTCATGTTCCGACTTCTGTGTATCTTTCTACATATCATTCCGAAAAAGTGGTTTTAGTGGCTTAAAGTCTTTTCGGTGGCTATCTATGCTTTCCATCTACGAGACCTTACTTCCTCTAGTACTGTCAAGAATAATGTTGAGGAGATTTCTGTTTAAGGCTTACATAATGTTACATTCGAGTTAATTATGTAAATGAATTAATGTTTCATAATTCCGAATAGTCCAATTAAGTTAAAGTTTTAAATATTTTCATGACCTGTTCAATGGGATCATTCCAAAAGGAGTAAAATGACTTGAATGAAAATATACGAACACGAATAACTACACAATGAATTGGTGTCGTAGAAACGGCAAGAGTACGGAATATTTCCGACAAGTTTTGACAGTTTACTATTTTATGGTGGAAAATTGTTTTCAACTTAAAAGGCACATAAACAATTAATTAATGTTGGTTTCAGATACAGCAAGCCGAATGTATGTAAGGAAAAGTTTTGAGCGAATTGGAAATGGTGGCAGCCAATGGAAAATGAAGCGAAGTACATGGAAATGACGGCACTACATGGATGTGGACGTGCACGTGCAATCGTGGTCATAAATAAGTCAATTTTAATTAAAGTTAGTGAATTCTTGTTTTGCCATTTGTGTTTTACACATTTTGTGAGGTAAAAATTGTGGTTTTCCGGTTGCAGTTAAAATTTAATGTTTGTGCAAAAATATGTGAGAATATAGGAAAAATTGTAGAGTTCTCTAGAACTTTTTATGTCGAGAAAAAAAAAGAAAATAATGTGAAAAATAATTACTTGTTACTAAATTTGAAACTATAGAAACTAAATGAGTTTAAGTAAAAGTTTCTTTTATTATCAGTGTTAAATAAAGTTATAGAGTACTACTTAATTTTAACTGATGAGTACAAAAAGTACCACAATCAATTATTAGTACTGGAGTTAATCGATAAACACTGTAATATTCGTAAAAGTAGAAAAATAGATATAATACTCTATAGTCATAAATTATTTCGTAGTCTTTTGCTTTTAACAGATTATAATCGTATATTAGTTATAGTTATTATTAATTTTTATTAATAATAGTTTATATCTTGGCCTACAATACGTTCATATAGGATCCAAGAACGACAGGGTCTACATCCCGAAGTCATTGGTCAACCAAGTGCCGTTCAACACCCCCCCCAAATGCACTGAACAAGCAGATCCCAGCGAGTTACTACAACCACATAAGGTCATATAGCATCTATTGTGATCTCATTTTTATTGCAGTAGGTAGAACTTAATTAATCCTATATACAAAAATTAATTTTTCTTCACTTGATCAGTTTTTAATTAACCGAAGTTTCGACAATACTCTTATTAAATTTGATAGCTATAAACTAATATTGTACTAATAGCTACAAACACATTTGCCAATTTTTTGGATTTCTAAAAATATATGTTCATCTTTCCAGGCACTATTATGATTCAACACTTAAAACCTCTAATAAAATTAGTTAACTGGCAAAATCATATTAATTATAATCACTTCTTATACTTTGTAATATATTTTAAAATAGTAAGAAATTAATTCAATTATAGTAATTTACATCTTTACAGAATCCGTTCACGTCTTATTCAACTCCCACTTTAACAAAAGCCATATAAGACATAAAGAGGATCTACAAATATACATATCCTAGATGACTACTTAATGAGAACATTTCGTTAATAAAGTACTTCATTATAAAGAAGTGCTTGAAGTACAAGAGTACAAGAATCGCTTTTATAAGGATAAAAAATTGTTATTTCTTCGAGAGGTATCTATATCATTGAGAATAAGGCGAAGACAGCAAAATATTGGACCTAGTGAAATGGCTAAAACTGGATTAATCTGGGCGTATATTAAACTATACAGTGATTCGTTTAATGAAAATATAAGTTCGCTTTTTCGTGAAGATCTTGACATCAGGAAAATATTTATCATATTATCCAACATTCAAAAAGTTGGATGAAGAAAAATACTTTACATTAAGTTATTTAATATATAAAACATATTGTCATATATCATCGTTGGTAGACTTTGGTAATAGTTGTTGGTTTTGGTTGTCCTTATATAATTCTTATACTGCAAGTGCCAGACATTGAACCATATTTCCAATTTTAAACACAGACTCAGGTGCTAGATCAATAACCCAACGTTACCTTTGACCTGACCTTTTTTCAGTTCTTTTTTTTTTGCTTAATATTTTAACAAAAATAACATGTTGAAAAGTGTCCATATTACACGGTTTCATAAAAAAATCTATTAGTTTTTCTTCAACTACACCAGCAAATTTAAGCTTAAATAGTTATTATGGAACAAACAATATAGCATATAATCCATAAATATAAAATTTCCAATTTAAAAAACTTTTAAAATTTATAACATATAAATGATATGCCATAAAGTGTACGTATTTATGTGTGTACAGCGTCGAACACAAAGAAAAAATAATATATATAGGGAAAGTACACGGTACTTTTATGGTTCCACACAAGAGTTCGGTCAGCTACGTGAGTGCAACAAAATCGTAAAATAAATTTTTCAAGGAAATTTCTTTGTCCTTTTGTTTCTTGAGGTTTTGCAATTTTTTACTAAATTTTACCACATCGCAATTTTGAACTCAAGCTACAAAATGCAACAAAAACGGTTGTAAATGCAATGTGTGTCACATTCGACAGTTGACAAGGATGCATAAGGATCCTTTGCGCCCAGAGTTGAAATTTATATAGAGTCTTTAGAATAAGACACTATCAGGTATGTGGAAAATGGTTTTGTCTATTATAAAAAGATTTTGTTTGCTTTCTTATTTTCCAAGTTTAGTGATGACGATGCTGTGAATAAGAGATAAATTTATTTACAAAAACTTTAAGATGCACACTTAAGTTATCAGAAATTGAAATATTAACTTTTTTTTCAAATTTTTTAAAATACTTTTATTATAAAAAAAATTTTAATATCTCTTCTCTATAAACTGTTAATATAAAAGTTAAAATAAAAATGTTTATAGTTCGAAATAGTAAGAATTCTTGTATGGAATAATTTTCTGTTAAATGAAAACTAAATTTTTTTCAAAAGTAACCGACATTAAAAAGAATAAACAATCTAAGAATCTGAAATTTAATTTAATTTTTAGTCGAGTTTGACTTATACTCGCAATACTTACACTTTCCATCACAATAGGCAAGAACCACAGTACCGGAGTTCATAGTGCAGCACAGCAAAATGCTTCCTTTGTTTTACTGTACGTACTCTAGATGTGCTTTTTTCCTAGTCGGACGAATGCTTCGGTTTTTTGTATTATTTTAATCCTTTCTGGAGCCTTAAGTTGAGTCAACATATGCTTGCACATACATAAGCATTAGGAAATGCGCCGGAAGAGTCTAAAACGGAAATGATGCAAGCAAGGAATTTGCTTTGTACCACTTGATGCTTTTTGGTCTTTCCAAAAAAAATTGTAAATACTGGAAAAAATGATTAAAGAAACAATAACTTTTGTGTCTCCATTGTTTTCCTTCGTTGCATTTCTACTTGTCCGAATTTCTGTTTTTTGGTTTATACTGGAAAAATGCTAAGATACGGATAGATATGTGAAAAAAGCTTCACAATTTTTTATGGAATTTTAATTGTTGAATGAATAAAGGCAAGATTTAGGCAAATATTTAACAATACTTTGTTTTCTGAAACCAAAAGTTTTGATTAAATCTTTTCCATTACTCATAAATACCGGTTTATCCATCTTTATAACTATCTTACTACATCCGTCTACTTTCATATACATATATATATAATTGATCCTTTGTTTATATGCAGTTTATGTTCTACAGCAATTAAATTTTTATAGAATATTATTGGACAAGAGGGAAAGATATGCTTGAGTCAGATAAATCTTTATGGAAAAACAAATATATTTTTTCAAAAAAATGTTTTAATAATTAAAAGATTAAAAATTTAATTTATACTAATTTTATACATTAAAAAATGAAACATCTGATGTATGTACAGTTTACCAAAAGCATATTAGTATTTATTTAGGATAGATTACAACAATGATCTCAGAAATCCACTGTTGGCGTATTGTGTTATCGTTTAGAAATTGGAAAACTCTATAGAATCAATAGGATTCCATAACTTTATTTTACAATATGCATACAGGTGCTTTGTTTACATTTCTATAAAGTTTTCCATTCTTGATCAAATTGTTCAGTATATAAAGATATCGACAACTACTTGTTTAATGCCGGTATGCTAAGATATCACAAATAGTTCGTGTATGTTTCTGAAATACTTTGTTTGTGTGGGTCAACTATTTTGAAAGTACTTGCAATATTGCATTAGTACATTATACTGCATCTATATTTAATATGAGAAATAAGGGAGAATCATGAATCACCGTGAAATTATTTTGGACAAAACTTAAAGGCATGAGATCATTTTGACTTTGTGTTAGTAACCATTCACGGTGATTACTATCACCTTACCATTCAAGAAAAGCTTTATTTTATTAACAGTAACATTATCAGTCTGAAAGACCTTGTAATAATCAGTGATGCATTCATTCCACAGATAAAACTGCTGGCTGGCCTGTTACGCAGTTTAGAGCCCGGCTGTATTATACATAGCTGGTTACACCTAAGGCACCTTCCGCCAATCAGACATCTCTAGCTAGAATATCGGCCGTAAATTTTCTGTTATTATTAGAATATCACCGATGTGATCAATATTTCTTAAAGAAGGATTGAGAGGCATTAGGTCCAAAACTCAAAATTTCTCTTCTGTAACTCGGAATTACTTGTAAGAATTTTGATGGTAGAAACTCATCACTGAAGGGTTAGAAAAATACGAATCGAAACTCATCAATTTCTGAATTAATGGTCGTATGAGTTCCAAGTGCTGTTGAGTTTATATCCAATCGAAATATGTGATCAATTTAAATAAGTAATTTGATAGTACATAAATTGAAGTCAGTAATTTGATATTCTTAAATGTCTTATTTCGCATTATTATATTGTTATACTGCTGATATAAATCAAATTCCTAGTTGCATTTAGAAAATTTTTATTATGCAAATATACATCCAAACATTTTTTTTTCAATGTTCATCCAAAATAATACACCTTTTGGTAAATCACAGAATTTTTTTGTTTTGTAATACATATATGTCTAAACTGATATTACAAATATATATCTCACTTGCTAATCATATTTAACAATAACAAATCAATACGTTAAAAAATATGTTAGTCCAAATACTAAATCATGAAACTATTCACTATTCAGTGGTTTCATCACACAAAAATTTTTCGTTTATATATAAAAAATTTTCATATGTAAACAGCGGCAACAGCGGTTAAAGTGGTACCAGCAACAACAAAAACACTTAGGATCCCATACGCTGGTAGTCCCAAGGGGTATTATCAAGCGGACATACGTTACGAGTTTTCAGCCAGCGGGAGATGCAATGGAAATGGAACGCGTGATTGCATATACCCCATGCAGTGGTACATTCTCCTCCTGGTCCTTGGCCCTGGGACGCTTGGCATTCGATACACTGTTCCATTATATTATTACGACAGATTGCGCAGTTGTCCACCGCAATGTCTGTAATCATAATCATTTAAACATGAAATCAGATTTATGGATAATTTTATGTTATTTACCCCAGGTCCAAGTAGCAACCGCATTCCACTAATAAATAATAAAAATAAAAACCATTTCTTTATTTCTCATTTGATTGAAGAAAATAATCTCTCACCTTCTTTATCTCGAAACGTTTAGCCGGGCGTGCAGCCTTGGATGTGGTTGGAGCTTCTTCCTCGGCCATGTTGATAACGCTAAACACCACTCACTGTACGATTTGTATTCCAGCAAATTTTTAATTTCTAAAGTTTTGTATCGTCAATAAGTTTCGAAACGTAAGAAAAAAATGTTTGTTTCAATTAGAATTTTTATTTGAGTAGTAAATTTTTTTTAAAATCTGACATACTACTTCGTTGCTTTTCGGTTTGAAAAACTTGGTACTGGTTAAATTATATCAATGTGTATGGAGTTTTGTACTGCAAACCTAAAAATATAATGTTTTCCATATTTATTTTTATTTGAAGAGCAATGTTAGGAACTTGTTGATAGAAACAAGAGAAATGGAACGGCGAAACGTATGGAATGTATGGAAAACTGAAAATGTAAATACAAAGGCACTGGCAGCACTGGTTTCTTATTGCGCGATAGCTATCTGATATCTGTTCGGATGTTTTTTATATAGACTTCAAACAATGAACTACTTATTTATTTTAAAGAAAATGGTATGAAAATTAAACAAACTAAATTACATTCCATCTTAGACATCACAAACTCAACTTCATTACGAAGATATTGAGTATGTCTCTACTTTCAAAAATCTTGAAGCATTTGAGTCACAAAAAACTAAAAAAATTAAATGCCTCCACTTTAAATTATTACTTACATGACCTTTAGAATATTTTCGGTAAGTGTCTTCTTATTGCACTGAAAGTGAATATTCATGGAATATATAAGACTGACTTCAATTTTTGTTAAAAATTGGACATTCGAAAATTGAACAGATTTTGTGAAAATAAAAAAATTTTTTAAAAATTATATTTTGACATGAAATAAGTATTAATAGATAAAAAAAGTTCAGTAGTTGATATAGAGATCAAAAAGTTTTTTTGATATATATACTTTAAAAAATATCTGATTCTGATCTGATCTGATATCTGATTCGAAAAGCAATCCAACGACTTGCGGCAGCTGTTGCTAGAAATCTTAATATCTACGCTGTACGTGATGTTTTTAAGAGTACTATGTGCTGCCGCCACATACCAATTCACTGATTGTGGTTTCTCACGACCTTTGCATCATTTAGAATATATTCACATTACGACAAATCCCTGAAAAAACTCACGCATGTAGCATTGATAACTTACATTATTTTGTGGACTACAAAGCAGCATTCGGTGGTTCCAATAGGGTTCACGAGATTGGTATCCTTACAAAAGCAAATATCCATCTACATGAGTTTGTGCAATACTTAAAGCGTTGTCAAGGCATGATCAAAACTTTATATACGTGTTGATGCCGTCTGGGATTTTGGTTAACATATCTTATTATTCTGCGATTAGTACAATTTCGTCAAGAAGTGATTAAACGCATGGCAGATGTTCATTGATATCAGACAATGTTTCAATTATATGTTTAATTTCTCTTTAATGGTTACGACACAACACTAATGTTACCGCTGTTTTTATTGTTACTAGGAAGGAATTTGCGTAAATGGGCTTGGTGATAAATAGGGTCAAAAGAAAATAAATGTAGTAAATTAACAAAAATATTCATCGCTTGATGGCGACACTAATAACAACAATAACTAACAATATATGTCAGTATATAGATCAGATAAAGAAACGCCATAGATCAAAAGGTTTTACTAAGGACTTAAAAAGCTATTGGTATAAGGAGCTTTCTTCGATCCGTAAAACTTGTGGTCTGTACAGTAAGGATTGGTTATAACCGCAGGATAATGTTTGGCTAGAAGGAAAGCTACAACGATTATGAAAGTGCGTGCTAAATACACGTAGAGATGAACTGTAGGGATTAAAATTAAAAACTGCGGAGTAATTAACATAATAATTAGAGAAAAGAGCTTATTATTTTCCAGATGTGAATATAAATATAAATGATAAGTCATTTAATTGAGTTATGTCAAAATGGTGATTTTCTGTTTTGTTATTCTCACTCGTATATCTCAAAAAAGCTTGTTTAAACTAAATCCTATGTTTTTAAATAATTTCATTTTTGTATTCCAACAAAGGATTCATTATATCCTTTGTTTGGAATAAAATTGAAACCACATAAAAAATTTCAAAAATGTGCAACAAAATCAATTCCCAACAAAACTAATTTAATTCGATTTCTATGTAATAAATCATTTTTTCAGATTTTGAAATCAAATATTTGAAGCGAGGAAAGCAATAAAATCAGTGAAAATAAATCGATTTCAACTTTTGTCATAAAAATTCGTGGTTAGCTTTAACCCAAAAAAACGAATATCCTCAAATGCAAAGTTCATAAAATGTAAATCCATCCAGTATACCAAAACCAAAACCAAAAAAAAACTCAATAAAATCTTCAAATCTCAGTTGAATTCTAATTCAGGAAACGTAACCGTCACACCGTGCGCAATGTCGCTGCCCAATGAATTTGTGAGATATTTTTACGCGATTTTCATTGTTCGGAGTTAACGTTTTTGGCTTAAACGAAAAGCCAGAAATTTACCGAGGCTCAAACCAAAAATTGTCAATACAAATGCAGTGCACGTGCCTGTTTTTCGATTTTGTCACATCGTGTACGCTCTGATATTATGACTCCCTAAGGTGTGGTTACAATGTTACGGTATATGGGTTTTTGGCGTGTGCACAAGGATACGCGTCCTGCACTGATTTCCTATAAATATTTTGTAATTGTTTGATGTATTTTCTGTTTTTGCTGGAAATTTAAAGCCGAACATCATCTCTTCCACAAAAACGGTTTACATGTTAAGCCGATTTTGAACCCATAATGAGAATACGAAAAAAGAAAAAAATGGTTGCTATATAGAGAAGGTAACTTTAGTTGCAGATTTTGAAGCAATCGAACAAATCTTTCCTGAGTAACTGATGTAAAGTTCTTCAACGCCCGTGTTAATGTAAATATAAGCACTAATACTCAGATTTAACTATTGT